GGTTAAGACTTGTACATGATCACGATAAGTCAAATGAGAATCCAAAGTAATTCCAAGATATTTGTAGGTAGTGACAMTATCAAGGRGTTTGTTTAAAAAAGTGAGTTGATTTGTTATATTGAAATGTCTCCTGGGTGAGGAAAAATACATGCACACAGTTTTTTTTAACATTGACAAAAGATTATCTGGAAGCCAACCATGAAATGTCTGAAGATCTGCTTGTAACTGACTGTTAATAGATTCAATATTGAAATCAGACAAAAAAAGAACAGTATCGTCAGCATACATTAAAATATTTGAATACTTCAATATTTTTGGAAGGTCATTTATGTATAATAGGAAAAGCAATGGGCCCAGTATGCTACCCTGYGGAACTCCCACGGAACAGGGCAGAGACTCGGACACAGAGCTTCCATGTTTCACAACCTGACACCTATCAGTCAAATAAGAGGAAAACTTTTTGCAGGAAAATGTGCAAACCGTTGAGACAAAGCGTCGCAGGTTTTGTCAGCATTTACACAAACATGACATGACTTGACTTGACTCACCGGTTGGCATAATAACAAAGTCTCGCTGGGAAAACAGGTGTATAATTGTCAAAGATTTAATAACAAAAAAAAGAGCATCATCAGTCTAATTTGTGTTTCAGATTTTGTTTTCTTTACTCGCAGGCTTCTAGTCCTCCATCATTATATACTGTGTCTGCCCTGTGATTGCAAAGGGCCGCACTTTTTAAACACAGGCTGGAGAGAACTATCCATTGTAAATACAATGCAGGCTGATTTATGATTCATATAGGCAGATTTTGACCTAGGATAGCAATTGCCTTGAAATTTGATAAAGATGCTGAGCAAAACATGCAGGGGTTCCAGTTTTTTTGCATCACATACATCTGCACGCACACGTGCACGCACATGTGCACGCACAACAGTTAGAGAACACTGTGCTCAGATTTATTCGCCCTCCCTTTTCAGCAGCATTTATGTGACTGGCTCTTTTCAGTGTTCAGCGTCAGCCTCCGTCAGTCAGTCAGTCAGTCGGCTCATCTGCTCAGTAATTTTCAGGTGTGCATGACTCACTGTGCACTGAAGCATATTCACAGTCACACAGTGGTGGGCACTGGCACACCTGGGGCTGCGTGACAACAGCAAGCCTCAGACAGAGATGTCATAATTACTAATGTTGACTTGTTTTCAATAACAATAATATTGATAATGACACCAAAGATTTAGGTTTTTGTAATCAACTATTCTATAAATATTTATATATATAATATATTCACTCGTGTTTTAAAAAACAGCCACTAAATGTGTCTTGTATAAGCTTAAAATTGAAAAATTTGCACCCATGCCCTTTGCTCTTTGTTTACACTGATTCTCCATTCTCACTTTAAGCCAGTCTAACATGTCTTAACAGATGTATCTGTAATATCAGATAACATAACACTGCCATTGTGTTACTGTTTCATGCTGGTCCTTTCAGCACTTATCATTACTAAAATCCAAACAAGTTTCTTGGTCGACAGTTTCCAGTCAGACAGTCTCTGCAGCAGTTAGGTGCACTGAGCGATACTTCATATTTATCTGAAGAATCGACCTTATTTAGTCATTGCTAAAGGTTACAGTGTAATTGGCCCTCAGTGGCTGCAGAGAGGTGTGCATTGCTGCAGCCGTTTGTTTCAATTCCTAGTCTCGCATCTTTACACATACTGTAATCCTCGCTCCACTCTTCACACTCCAAGGGCTGCTCTGCTTATTTTTTTTAATCCTTTTTTTTTTTTTCAAATTTCATTAGAAGAACTTTCCAATTCTCAGTAGAAAAAAAGGCTGGCTTTGTAGGTGTTATTCTGGAGCCCTGTTTGTGCCTGAGTTCAGAGGCATCATGGCTCATAGCAGATTATAGCACTGTGCTGCTTTATGACTCCTAATGTTGTGCTTTGAACGAAAGAGTGTCTGTGTGTGTGTGTGGATGGGTTTTTCCTACAACGTGGGGAAAATTTTCCCAAAAACAGCAGCCTTGTGGGGACCGAAATGAGTCATGGGGACCAATGCACTACCTCTATCTGTCCAGACATCTATCCAAAAACGTCCATGTGCCACAATACACTTTAGTGTCTTTTACAGCAAAACCAGCTTTGAAGTCATTAAAACAGCCATTTAACCAGTTACATAAATTACATATTTTAAGTGTAGCCATATATCATTTGTTAAATTTATAGGAATTATATGTAGCTAAGGGGAAAATAAATCTGGTACAGTGTTGCAAATTTGTTTGCAACGAGTTTTTGATTTAGTGTTGTGACATTCTAACCACAGGTTTTCAGATGAACACGATTTTATTTGTCAAGAGAAGTTAATCATTGTTAAACTTCAGTACATAATAAATATAGTAAAACTATAATTTATGTAATCTGAACAGTGCCTCAGAAGCCAGATTTTGCCTGTGCTGATGTGGCGTATAGTTGGTGTTTGTGAGTAATGTTTGTTCTGTAGAAAAGTTAAAAACAACAAAATAAAGTTTAAACAGCTCTGTTCCTTTGTTTGGTGCTGTAATAAAATCATTGGTATTTACTGTATTAGGACTTACTGCTGTTCTTGCCTGTCTGTTAATGTAAATGTAACAGCAGGACTTTAATCCTGTGCTGTCTTATTGTTCAGTTTAAGTTCGACTGCTTTGGGGAAATATTTTGAAGCAAGGCAGCCGACTATAAAAAGTCAGTTAATTTAAGATTGCAGTAAGAGCAGTGAATGTTTCGAAAAGGCTAATTTTGTTTTTGATAAACATGTAATGATATTTACAGAACGTTTTGTGCAATTTCAGATTTAGTTTTAAACATGGGTAATTTAATTATGATTAGGAAAATGACCCAAACCTATTTTGATCTCTGTCTAATTTCCAAAACGGACAGAGGTAATTCATTTCAAACTGGTTACACTGAGAAATGGAGCCAATAGTTCTTACCACATTTGTGGTCCTTCATACAATAACACACACTCAAAACACAGGAAAACATGACCTCCACAAAACTGCTTATCTCCATGGTGACACCAACTGTGTTTTAAGAGAGAGAAATCAGACAAATCCACAAGAAGACATGCAGTCTGGCATCCTGAAACAGACAGCCGTGCATCCCACACTGTTTGAACAGACCTAACTACACATTTACATTTACTATATTTCATAACTCACCTGGGACCTTATAAATTCACTCTGACATAGAATTAAAACTCAATTTAAATTATACTTGGTACACCATTAATGTTGAACCTTTGGTTGTTTGGGTTTCTGTAATTTAACTTTTAATGTTTTTGTATTTTTTACACACCAAAGTAATTCAAAATCTGTAGATTTATCGTTTTTAAACATAAAATTATTACTGTATGATTATTGCTTTTTTGTTGTGAACAAAGGTTTATGCCTTAAAAATGTACAATTTACAGAACTAATGTGTTTTAGTTATTTTACTTTTGCAGCCATCATATTGTATGACATTTTAAGATTTAATACTGCAGACTTTATTTGATTTAGCTAATTCCTTCTCTCAATATTGATCTATTTTTAGGGTCTCTCTGCTGCATCCCTCAGTGGTTGAGTCCCAGTTTCCCAGTTTGGACAAACAGAGTTCTCTCCTTGCAGAAATCCATTGCAAATGGCTCGCTAAAGACTTCAGCTGGGAGAATTCACTGTCAACTCATTAAGTTCTTCAGGCCTTAGCTCTTTAAAGGTACACAACCTTAATGTTTTAAATTCTAAAGTAAATCATTATAAAACAATTTGATTTTGGTGTTTGTCATGAAGCTTTTTGTTTTGGCGTTTAATTTTAAAAACCAATATTTGTACTTCCTGTATATTTGATTAAGTGTTAAACATGCATTTATCTGCAACAGTTTAACTGATGTAATTCTTTCCATTCTCATTGGAGATGACTTTGCAGTTTAATGCTTCTTGATTTATATTAATAATAATAAAAATAATTATCCCTTTTTTGCTGTTTTTGCAGAACCAGATGTGAAACTGTCTCATTTTCCTCAGTGGGCATCATGTTGTCCCAAATCTAAATTGATCAGCATCCTATTTTCACCTTCTCCTCCCATCTCCCCTCCCTGCACCCTTTCCCATCTTCATCATGACGAGCCTGAAGCGCTCTCAGACTGAGCGCTCGGTTGGGGGCTCGGTGCCCGCTTCCGACGAGTTCTATACCCGTCGCCTTCGATTGCCCAACGGAGGGGCACCACCACCACGCAGTGAGAGCGCACACATCTCCTCTTCCTCAACCACTGGTACCAACCCTGGGGTCCCTAAGATGGGGGTTCGAGCCCGGGTGGCTGACTGGCCCCCAAGGAAAGATGGAGGAGGAGGGGGTGTTTGGCATATCACAGTGGAAACTGATTCACCCAGCTCTACGAACACCACCAGCTCTTCAGGATCAGGGAGTGGAGACAGGGAAAGACTTCTAGGAGGGGGGGGAGGACTGAGTAGTGGTGGCGGCAGTGGAGGAGGACGAGAAGGAGGAGGACGAGAAGGAGGAGGACGAGAAAGAGGTGAAGTGTCAGCTGTCACAGCCCATAGCAACCTCTCAGCCAAGTTGGGTCACCTGATAAGCCCACAGGACTCCTCCATGCTGCGCAACATCCAGAACACACTGAAGAACAAGATGCAAAGCAAAGGGAAGGACAATCGCTTCCTGTCACCAGATGGTTATCTAGGTTCACCTCGCAAAGGTATGAGACGCATCCGCCAGCGCAGTAACAGTGATATCACTATCAGTGAGCTGGATGGGGAGGGTAATGAAGGCTGGTCTTTTTCTGGATGGACACCCATGCATCGCGAGTATGGCAGCACGTCGTCCATTGACAAACACGGCGTGTCTGGAGAAAGCTTCTTCGACATGCTCAAGGGATACCAGTCGTCGGAGGCGCCTGATCAGCGAAGCCCTGCTCCGGAGAGACTAACAGAGCTTCTAACTGTGGCCCCTGTAAAACAGGCTGCCTTGGACCTGCCAGATGGACCCTTGGGTCCAGCACGAGGTAGTCCCGCCAGTCGTTTGAAGGAACGAGAGAAGCACTTAAAGAGAAGATCAAAGTCAGAAACAGGTGGAGAGTCTATATTCCGAAAGCTGCGAAGTGTGAAGGTGGAGGGTGACACATCAAGGGCTGGCTCAGATGTTGAAGACGGTGGGAAAGGAGATGAAAGTGGCCCATCTCCCAAACCCTGGGTGTGCCAAAAAGGCTTTGCCCATTTTGATGTCCAGTCTTTACTGTTTGACCTCAATGAGGTGATCCAGAACCGGCAATCTGGGGCCAAGCGCAAAAACACCACAACCGGTGCCTCGGCTGCTGCTGCTGCATCCGCCTCTGCCACATCCTCCCTTTCCTCCAATCAGAGTGGGACGTATGGGTCCCCCTGTGGCTCACAGGAGGAGTTGAGCAAGGAGGGTACTGGTGCCAACCCTGCACTAGACCCTGGTGATGACAAGAGCAATGATTTAGTTCTCAGCTGCCCTTGTTTTAGAAATGAGATTGGTGGAGAGGGTGAGAGGAACATCTCGCCTGCTAAACAAGTAAGTTTATTATAAGAATTAAATCATGTGGTAATGTGATGTCTGTTAAAAAATATTCTGTAGCATTTTGAAATATTTGTACAGTGTGTGAAATCAAAATGTAAAAAAATTAGTGCTGGGCATAGGTTACAAATTTTAATTGCAATTAATCGCAAAAATAACCTGAGATTAATTAATCTCACTTTTTCTCTTTTTGTTCCACAATCACTTTAATATGGCTGAATATGTAGGTTTGTATATTGCAATACACACCATGTGTAACACATTATGTATAGTTTTTTCTTTTTATCTTCTTATGGCTTATTTTATTTTATTTATTTAAGTTTTGCTGACAACTGTGACCTTAGTATATATCTTTCATTCCTCACATAGTACTCATTTGTACGGAAGCGTGTTGCTATCAGGCAGGAAAAAAAAAATCCGAGCGCTATCACGTTATAACGTGATACGTATCACGTTATAACGTGATAGTATCTCGTTAAAACGTGAT